CATGCTGCCTGCACGGGCTCGCTGAACGTTATCAGGATAGGGTCGCCATCTAAACCGAGACCCGCCTTGGGATTACACTTCTTTGACACGAGCTGATGCTGCAGCCTTAGCTCCTGGCAGTGCCGCTCTCTGGCTCAACCTTTCGAACCAAGGGCCTCACCAAAACTTGCACGACCCAAGGTCAGCCTGTACTGTTCAATGGAAGCCAGTAGCAGAGCACTCTTAGGTTTGGCGTTTTTTGCAGCACGTTTGCGGACAGAAGAGGAGGACCGCAGAACATTGATCAATCCCAGATTGCCATCCTAACGCACAAAAGCACTTTGGCCCAGTATCAGTAGCAGCACAGATTATCAGGAAGGTACCACGGCACAAAAAAGCACACGCACAAATGGCCCAAGGATGCAAGGAAGTCCAAAGTCAAAATCAGCCGCGAAGCCTTTGACAAAGAGTGAAAGGCGGCAAAAATTGGGTCTATGATTTTTCTGGCACAACCACTTCGAGCCCGGGAGCCAAGGAGCCTAGCCTACTACCACAACAGCGACGATATAGGACGTATAAGCACAAGTGCTAGAGAAGTATAGTCCCCCTTAAGTAGATAGAATAGGGAGTATGTGGGGATTCTATTATAATATACACAAAGCCATATTCTATCTACTTAAGAGGGACTATAATTGTACCATTACAAATACACGTACCTGCCGGTAGGACGTCTTTTGCTGCTGCATCTGATCAGGAAAAGAGTTAACGATAACATCTGCAGCCAAGCCCTTGCCGAGGCAAACCTTTGATCCTTGAGCGTACTATGCTGCACCTCCTACTTTCCCGATTATTCGCGGTCACTGCTCTTGTTGCTAGTGCCGGCTCGTTCGTTCGTTGTCATTGCGGTTCATCATGCCTTGGGAGCCGCGCCATCCCAAACAGGGCCCCATCTCAGATCCTGAAATCGCTGACTCTTGCCTCATTCTGCTTTGGCCTTTCCATTGATTTCAAAGGCTCTGGTTGCCACTAGACCGACCCCAGCTGGCAGAATATCGGCGGTCTGTGTAGTGCTACTATGATTGGTGACGTCATCCTGGTGCCTCCACGTTCCTGCTGCTATTGCGACCGGCATCCCTATTTACATACTACCTGTACTGAACCCACGGAAACTATTTTGTGTCTTCACTGTTTTCCAGAAATTCTGCTAGGGGTGGGTTCAGCTTTTGTATTTAACAAGTACTCTGGCCAAACCTCGACTTCTCAACAAGGTCCGTCGAAGCAGGCATCAAACTTAAACGATGTTTCATCCTTATCCCCATGGCCCGAACACCCTGCTACCAACAATAATGTCCTCCCACTTCACAATCACAACCACATCTTGTGAAAAAAGCACGGGGCTTCTGATGAAAAGTCTACTTTTCAGGTTTGGGGAAGCGGGTGGAATTCAACAGGACCCGATTAGCGGGGAATATAGCACTTATGGAGCAGCACATGGCAGGGAAAAGAGCTCTAACTTCATGAGCTCCTCTTGAAAGCTCCTCTGCCGATTCAGGAGTTCGGCACACTTGATCACCAAAAGACGACACATGGTTGAAACTTGGCGGAGTCTCTCTCAAAAGCAAATCTACGCCCAAAAGCTTCTGCTCTGAGCTCCTCTAAGCCCTCAGGAAAAACGAGCGCACAACCATCGCATTGCAGCAAGCATACAGTTCTCCTGCTGTCGATAGGCCGAGAGCATGGCCTACTTAAATTTGCGCAAGATCCACGGGTCATCGTCGAGTTGAACGGCAAACGCGCTACTCCACAACTTCGAGGTTTGCACACGCTGGTCACAAGTCTGCGCTTTATCCAGGAATTGGACTCCAAGTCTGGGACTTAAAGCAAGCAGCAAAGACTCTGCATGCGTCCATGTGTCCCGCTTAGGTTAAGTGATCCGACTACTCTATGGATCCGTGCAGGCACTTACAAATGAAAATCAGCAGCAACCGCATCCTCAGCGTACAACAAGGCGGCTGAGTCTCACACGGCATCAAATCTTGTGCGGTAAAATGATAAGATCTTCCAAAAATGCCAGCAAATGGATTACCATCCGTGTCCTCAAACAAGCACGTCTACCTTCAACATCACTCCCAACTCTGCAAACAGCCAGCAGGTCCTTCACGGTGCCGGCGGAAACCGAGACCTTGGCAAGTCGCATGGCCATTGCCTCCTTACTGCACCCCAGCAAGCTTGAGCTGCGCACTATGTACATTTCGCCGTTTTGACGCAATGACCTCACAGGAAAAACAGACGAATCTACGATCTCTCCAGGCCTCAACACAGTCAAAGGTAAGCTCTAAGATCATGACTTGGTTGGCGTCACAATCATGAGGTTGCCTGAAATCCTCACCTGCGCTGCAACTTCTAGGGACATAGCGAGCACAAGCGAATCCAATGCTGTAAGGTGTTTCTTCCGACGACCTGCGAGACATCATTAACATCGATCTTGAGCTGATCCTGATGTCATGGATCTGTTGCAGTAGCCGGCGCACAGGAGAGACATGCTGAGAAGCATTGTGGTTTTCTGCATCCAAGGCGCAGTTGAATAAAGAAAAATACTTGAATCCCGTGATGACCGGACCAGCCTTAGCACCCATCACAAGCCATGAAGCAAGGATAGTGGGGCTACATAGGGGTTGTATTGATGTAATATTGGTATTGGGAGAATGGAAAAGAAAATGGAAACTACTATATTATAAGGGTTATGTAAGGATTTTGGCTTTCTAATGCCTTTTGTTTGGGGCACCGACGGTGCTATTCTCACCGTCCCGGCACCACGCTGGATCAGCGTGGAAAAAGTGAGCGAGATGTTTGCTCCAGCACCTCAGACGAAGAGTTCCCGCACCGAGCCGCAAACATTTTCACATGGTCTGAGAATGATGCTCACATTCTTTGCCCCAATATCTGGACTGTACTGCTCCACCGTGGGCAGCTCCTACAGGACACCAAAAGTCTCACGGAGCGGAATGTACCCAAGATTACCGAAGGCCTGAAGCAGACGTTGCTCCTCTTGCGCGTACACGCACGTCCAGAATGTCAAGAGCAAGCAAAGCAATGCATTCCTCGAACCAACTTGATTCAGACACCGCCAAGCCCGAAACAAAAAAAATACATGTACATGCTTCCCAAATGAGCCAGCTGCGTTCTTCTTCGGAACGGCCAAAGCCTGCACTGCTTGTACCAGGGCTGACTATTGTTATTAGCGTTACTATTCTTACTGGGGCTCTACTGCTACTTATTAGTACTATCAGAACCTACTGTGACCTATTATTATTAGTGTTGCCACATGACCTTTCATTGCGATTACTGCCATTAATTTTCTAGATTATGCTGATCATAATAATGACAATAAGAACAATGAAACTATTTGAAGTTCAATATCGTTACATGTTTTTATATTGTTACTATGACTACTGTTGTTTTGCGAGCAACCTGTGGAAGGCAGAGCAACGGGTCAGCGCCGGCCATGAGGCCTGGTCCACAACTGTGATTTCAAATATAAGGTTTAGGGATCTAAAGGGGTTATATGGGGATTATTTGGGGACACTATATAAGGGTTATTATATGGGGATTATTTAGGGACACTATATAAGGGTTACATGGGGATCATAGTGGGAGAGCTTCCATATTTCCAGGACTCGCAGTTTGAGGCTGCCGCTGGTTGCCGTGGGCTCTGGCCTTGTTGACATCAGAGTCAAGGGACTTTCGCATGGCCCGGGCAGTGTGGAGCTTAAGGCCCGAACTCCCATGAACAGCATCACGAACAGGCCTGGCAAGCATGCCAACAGAGCTTTGTGACGTAGTCTACCATGGGTATATGGGGGACATATTGAGGTTATATTGGGATAGTGGAAAATGAAATGGCTACTATGGGGGGTTATATAGGGGTTGTATATCAAATGTGCAGACTGCGGCAGGCCAAAACATGCCAAGTGTGCATACAGAATCTCGCCCGACCTGGAATCAGCAATAACTCGCGGCAGACTTTCACTGGCTCTCAGCATGTCGCATGTCTCACCGGACCGCCCGCAAGCAGCGAGCTCCGTAGCTCATCCAAATAAGTTCTGAAATCAGCGGCAACTGCTCTGAGGAACAAACATTCCACTGCAGCTTGGCAAGACCTGGTCAAAGCCGCAAGAAGTGCAACAACTCATGTGCACCCGATAGAAGTTGCAGACTGGGATGATTGCAAGCAGCCCCTGCTGTGGACAAAGCCGGACGCCTGCTCTGTAAGACAATGGCTTTTCTGAGTCTTCCAGCGCAGCATGCCAAGCCACTGTGCCTGCACCCTGCCGCCACTGCACGCAGGCGCGCGGCAAGCCTATATAATTATAGACTATATAATAGATGAACCTTGGTTAGGTTAGACTTCGCAATAAGCAGGTTTTCATGATTCTTCCTCACAATGCATCATTGCTACCGGTCTGGCTGGGCGTCTGTCTGCTATGAACTCTAACGGGTCGCCTGAGTACCGCAGTACAACAACTAAACGATGGGCTTGTCCGACGTGGCTTAGTATCTACCAGTATAGACATGTCCTTCGTCTTTGTTGATTTGTGCTTCGGGTTGCTTAGGATTAGATGTTGGTTGGCATCATCGTCATGAGGATTGGCCTCATGCGGGCTGTCAGCCGATATGAAGCTTTGACAGGCGATTCAGCAGAAGCTTGCAAGCGGCCTGCCGCGTTCGTTAACTTGATACTACGCCAGAGAAACAATAGACAGGGCTCCTATACGCATGAGCACACATAGGCAGACGGAGAGAGTTGATGTGACGCGCCAGCTGGCCCACGCTTCTGATTTCCAGCAGAGATCACAGAAATGCCTCCAAAGGCCCCGTAAGGGCGCAAAGGAAACGTGCCCGACCTTCGCGGGTGTCTCAAACTGGACTGCAAGTAGGCACTAAAATCAGAGATGCGGACGGCAAAGGAACGCAAGCTGCTCATGAGGCGAAGAACCCTTCAGACTGCAGCTCAGACGCAGTCATCCAGACTCAGTGATTAATTCATCCTGGCAAGTGCCTGTGACAGTGCAATTGTCGCGCATACGGCCCTTGGCGTCGAAGTTCTGGGACCAGAAAGTAGGGTTGTGCGGAGTAAAGGTCTTTGTGTTCCAATTGTTGGTTGCGGTTGCTCGGAAAAAGTAGTTGACGCATGTCACTGCATCAAAGACTGGAAGACCAGTCATGCGTCGCAGTTCGTCCGCATAATGCGGGAGCTCGGTGCATTCCAAGAGAATCATCTTGATACTCCCAGCATCATCTCTGGCACCTTCTTCCTTGATGATGTCCAAGACATAGCTGCTAATGGCCGCTTGCACTCGGATGGTGTCCACCCTCTCTGCATTCGCCACTGCCTCAAATCCTGGCAAGCTCTCACAACCTCGGATCACAAACTTTTCGGAGTTTGTCACCTGAATCCCGCTCTCCAAGAGCAGCTTGTCCCTACCAGGCTGCAGGCTTGCTGCGTTAGCCGTTAGGATCAAAACCCTCTCTGCCGGCTCCATTGCTGCTGCCATGGTAGCTGCTTGGATCAGCGCGCTCATGAACACAGGGACGTTGGCAACATAGCGTGCAAAGCACTGGTAATGCATCATGAATCCGCAGTTTCCTGTGATTCCAACCACTCCATCATCCTCCAGCGTCTTGATCTGTTTGGCCATATTTTCAAGGATGGCTGGGTCAAAGGAACCTTCCTGTGCCCTCTCAAAGGTAAGTCCCCCCACAACACGGGGGCAGGTCTGGAATCCAAATGTTCCAGGATGATCCACATCCCCAAAAGCTGGCGGATAGTTATACTCCAACTGCAGCAAGCCCAGCTTGCAAGCCAGCTTGAAGGACCTCGGAGAAGATGATGTGGTCGGAGATGTAGGCTTAGCTAACTTTTCATCCAAACGACACAAGACTTTGGCATCGTTGTAGTGGCTTAGTGAAGATGCTGACGAAAACAAGTCCAGCATGGTAAGCTCATTGAAGACAGGAAGACCGGTGCCTTGACGTAAGTTGTCGCTGAACATGCTCAGCCGAGTCGTCACGATGACACTTTTGATAAACATGTCCTTCTTGCCTTGCACGTTGACTTCAGCCATCTTCCGTTGCACCATGCTCAGCACTTCCGCCCCAAGGGCTTGATCATCTTCTGCGGTGGTCTCGAAATTCAAATATCTCGCCCAGCGAGGGTCTTTGGAGGCATCGATGCCTAGTATCTCAAGCCGGTCAACGTCTAGCACGATATTGCAATCTGAGAGGAACTTGGGCTTCATGCTTTCCACGTCCTCTTGTGAACCCCATGTCACCAAAAGAATCTGTTCACAGCTTTTGAAGCAAGCAGATATCATAGGGAGCTGAATAATGGGGGTCAAGTACACAGGACGCTCTGGGATGACACTGCGGATGGCTGAATGGTGTTTCAGCCACAAGTTCCCAAAATCGGCTGTGACCCCTGTGATGTTGCTGGCAAAACTCAATAAACGCTCGAAGCACTCACGCACAGATTGCAGGAGAGTCGTGTCCAACGTGGCTGCCATCAAGCATGCTCGAGTGACATTCTTGCACCTAGACATAACCTTGATTCCTGCGGAAGTCTCGACTCTCATCACTTCTTGCGGCCAACTTCCTTCATCAACGCAAAGCACCGCAAAAGAGTGTTGACATCGTTTGCTTTCAGCAAGCTTGGCCAAGGAGAGGAGGCGATTGCGCCCTTTTGCCTGCAAGCCAGCAATATGGTAAGGACATGGGTGCGGGATGGTATTTTGAAAGCAAAAAAATGTTTCGAGAGGTGACAATCATTTTGAAACCTAGTTGGTTGTGCCATCTGCCACTAGCGCCCAAGTCATTGCAAACAAGCAGCTGGACTTTGACAGCCGGGTAGCTCTGCACTGGAGACTGCAACGTCCATTCTGCTATAGTGCTTGAGCCACTTCAATCCAACATGGAACAAGACTGTGCTGAATATTGCATGCAGCACGAATAAGGCCAAATATATGTTTGCCTGGAAAGATTTCCACATTAGAAACGTGCATTTTGAGACGTCTCCACTGCGTGGTGAAACCAAGCTTTTTCAGGCATTTGACGCGGCAGGATCCCTGAAAAATCTATGCAAAAAAACATCAAAATACACTTCGAAACACACAAGCTCCCGCGAATGTAGGCGTATATGGGATGTCAGAATCAGTGAATACGGATTTTTGTGCTTCTCACTTCCGAACTACCTCTGCCGTCATGCCTTTGAACACTGAGCTCGTTCTGCTTTGCCTGCGCGGACGGAGTCCCACATGTCGGAGCACTACCTCTCTACCTGCCCTGGAACCCTTCCAAAAATTATGACTTGGCGATGTTATTCGGGCGTGCAAGGTGTGCTGAATTTGGGGCAGTTGGCTCCCTGATTGCCTGTTTTGGTGGGGTGGGTCCGCTGTAGGTGTGCTGGATTGATTTTTTGTTTGCTTTGGAAGTGGCATTTCTGATCGAGTTGGAGTGTTGAACGTGTCTTGGGGCGGCGGGGTGGGGTGGGTGTGGTGGGTTGGGACGTGTTGGCAGCGCCCGGGTATCTTGCTGACATGTTGGGTTTAAGGTTTAGGGTCTAAGGTGTTGCACTGTTGAAGGCACGCGTATGCTTGATTCAGTGCTCAAGTCTTGGTCTTACCCAGCATTCTGCGACGCCATGAAGAAAATTTCGGAAGAACAGCTCAACCGCATTATCGGCCAATCTCTACATTGCAGGATCACGCTTGACTACTCACTGCCCCCCCCCACAACCTTTATCAGGATCCAATCAGACGCTTCGCGAATTGCTGTGGAGCGTTGGGTGTTAAAAACCTTGAAAGCAACACAGCATCAAGTGAGTTTTTTCACTACGTTGCAGTTCAGTCTGCGTAGCGCCACCACTACAGCTGCAGTCTGCAAACGATGGTGCAACTTAAGGTTGGGATACGCCCAAGCAGAGCCAATATTCGGATTACCTCCTTTGGTGCCGTGGCAAGGATTCAAACACATCGATTACGAAGTCACCCTCACCCAAAACAGTATTCTATTCCCGCACTCCGACTAAGCAATCTTCGCACGTTTTCACTGTCGCTTTGTTGATAAGTGTCGCTGTTCTCATTTATTTTGGGCTGACATTGAGGCTCAAGGAATTATTTTCGCAGACGTCATGAACGGTTCCCCTATGAAGGTCCCTTGCCCAGTTGGACCATTGGGCCGGTGTATGCAGAGGCCCGCAGCAAAAGATGTGATGAACTGTTGTGGTCTTGCCCGGCCTGCAGCCAGGGACGTCATGGATTGCTGTGGTCTTGCCCGGCAGGGCGAAGTTGCGTTTTTAGAGGAGTTGCTAAGCTTCACAATGATAGTTCCTTACCCGATTTCACCACAGGGTCGGCGTATGTCGTGGGATCGGTGCACGAATATGCGCGCAGCAACGGATGAGGCCTGCCACCACAAGCACCAGCAGAAGCGGAAATTGGTCATCGGGACAGTAAAATCCAACTTTGCTATCTACAAGGTCTTCCAAGACTGTCGTGGACATCCCTCCGTAGCAGATCTACCAGAACCGAAGACACCAGACCCATGTCGTGACATTGGCAACAAAACTAAAGGACCGGAGAACGCCACATGTGTAGTTTAACCCAAGCTTAAGCGTTATACAATTCAGATAGCGTCGCCCGGCGAAAAAAAAGACGGGTATAAAAGAGTGCAAACTCTTGAGATCGCATTCCCCGGCGAAGCGACGAGCACTTTGCGCGAGCGCGAAGTCGGCATCAGCTGTAGCTGGTATATATGTATATGTATGTGTATATGATCACGTGTACATTTCGCATATGGCTTATTGCCATACTAAGTATATGAAGATATATATATATATACATGTATGTATATACCTATTTTCAATAATTACACAAACGTGGGCGCGCGCGTGTGTGTGTGTGTGTGTGTGTGTGTGCGGGTGTGTGTGTGTGTACCGTTCTAGGCCATGAACGCAGGGGGTCACTCCCAACCTCATGCAGTTGCTGCTCTACATGTGATTTACATGTGAAATTTCAAGCAGGGGGCTGGCAGCCTATTCCGTGATGCCAGCCAACGAAGCTAGCGGAATAGGTGGATGGAGCTCTGGACGCATAGCTCTGTACCTGCTACGGAGTTTCTAAGTTCAGATTTGCAAGTCCAATTATTTAAGAAGATGCGATGAGAGAATTGCATCTTAGGCAGATGCCACC